AGTAAATGTCATGTTCCAAATTCCGAAGCGACTATTAAGTTGTCTCGGGGTAGCTTTCAGCATTCAGACAAATATGATCCAGTCATGTCAAGTCACGGTTATCCAGTTCTGAGAATATTCAAGCAAGTTATGCCCAAGTCAAAGATAGCTTGTCTAATAAGACAAGACATATCTATCATTTTCAGTATGTCAGCGCCTTGATTCTCTAATTCTGAAGAATCTGAGAAATCATGAGAGATATTCATTCATGATGGACTTCTTCTTGAGGTTAAGTTTAACCTCGGAGGAAGTAAATAGTTGCAGGTACCACAGGTTGACATACGACGCAACCGAGAAATGCCAATCAACAGCAACAGATCACGCCATGATGACAAACCGACGCTTTCCATTCAAGGATGCATGACGCAAGAAGAGAAGGACGCCATGCCTGAATCACAGTACACTGGAAAATTACTGAGAGTTAGCATTATAGTACATTGAGGTTACTAGCTTGAGGTATAGATACGATCAGACTACGTCGACGACGCAGGTGCAATGTTCGTCAGGTGCTGTATGCAGGCGCGACGCACTCACTTGACGAGGAGCAGGTGTGCCGCAATACAATGTGCCGCGAACGATGTGCCGCATTATCAAGCAGACGTTCATGAAAGGTAATTACCGATATAGCTAGTTATCCTCATTTGTACACATGCGTATCTCTGGAATCTTCCATGTGTACCAACGACTGGAGTTTTTACAACCAGCATTCAGACTAGAGATCAGCAGGGAACCAGGAGATGATGACCAGTACGCTCCAGAATTTCGTTTTAAGATCATGTCTTATCAGTGGAACACTTTATTTCCGAAAAGTGTTCATTCTCAGTCAATAGTGTCCAACAATTCACTTAATTGTGAAATGATGTATCTTCAATTCAGATCAAGTATTATTCAGTATTAAAGTACTGAATTCTCAAGTCATGTAATCAGTAAGTATAAGCTTTAAGTTAAGCTTGTACATTTCAGTTTTAGTATTTCCGAGGACGGAAATATTTTAAGGGGGGTGGATTGTAACGCCCCGTATTTTATTAATAAGGAAAATACTAGCTTTTAGTTTTAAGCTAGCCTTGTTAATAAATAATCATGTTCATGTTCAAATTCAGGTCAATCAGTTAGTCATATTCCAAGTTCGACTATTAGTCGATATATGTTATTCGGTTTAATTATTTCAGTAGACCGGATAAGTTTCTAGATTTAATTCCGATTCGTTTAATTAATTAATGAGTCTGGAATTAATTATTCAATCAGCGACATCCCATCATGTTAATCATGTTTTTAATTCCGAGAATAATAATATGACGAGTATTAATTTTCGGAATTAAATTAATTCAGTCATTTCAGTCGAGATTACCCGAAATTATTTTCGACGTCCCGTTTACATTCGGAAAATTTTTGGAAATTAAGCATTATGTTTAATTAAATAATTAAACATAATTTAGTGATTAATTAACAATTAATCACATTTAAGGCATTAAAGCCGTGGGAAATCAAATAATTTGGCCCCAATTTTGGTCAAAGCCGTACGAATTTTCCACCACATTTATTCCAAATTTCCGAGAGCAATTTGTATGATTTAAGCTATGTATTATGACATGCAATTATGGATGAGGTGGCAGTCTTGAGGGGGATTAGTCATCCTAAATCTCCATCTAATCTCCAAGTGTCATTAGCTCCCTTAAACACCAAATCATCTCATCACCCTCACTTCCATTCGGTGGGTATATATAAGTTGGAGTTGGAGAATTTTTGCCTATCATTTTCTTCATCTTATATATCCCACATAGAGTATAGAGAGAGTGGAGAGGTTCAGCAATTTCCTAAGTTAGCACGTAGTACTCACGCCCGAGCTATCGCAAGCAAGCACGCCTACCGCACGCGCATCGCACGACGAGAAGCGTAGTACCGCCAGAGGAAGAGGCTTCGGTTATTTTGATCATTTAGGGCGATCAGCTGAGAGTTAAGGAGGTAACCTCAGCTTACCTTTGTTAAGTCATGTTATCTCCAATTTATTCAATCATGTTCATTTGTTTCGGCCGTGCGTGTAGTGTAGGTTAGTCATGGTCATGTGAGAATCGACACTCTTCCGAGTAATTGTTATATAATCAGCCTTATTATTCAATATCATGTTCAGTTGTATTATGTTGCTCGATTATGTTCATGTTGCTCGGTAGTTCGGCCATGGGAGGTGGTCGCGTATGTAGCGCACCACGGGTCGGGCATGTGAGTCCAATAGATTAAGTTCAAGTTCCTCGAGCACTTCATGCTATTTTATTCAGTAAATATTGTTCATGTTCAGTCAGTTAGCCAGCGCCCGCAGCTGCCGGACAGCGCCAGCGTGCGTAGCCTCGGCAGGCCTGCTGGCCGAGCCAATGCACGACCGACCGGTTCAGCGGACCGGCAGTCCGGTCCAGACCGGTTCAGACTGGCTGGACCGGTTCAGTCCGTATTTTATAGTTTCAGCCCCGATTCATGATTTCAGTGTCATTTTCAGTTAAAATTCCGGGTTCAGTTCAGTTCAGTAAGTTCATGTCTGATCAGTTCATGTCAAGATCAGTTCCGGTTATACCGGTTAAGTCCAAGTATTATGTCACGTTGAGTAGAGCATCTTAACATAATTAATAGTTAATTTATCAGTCTGAGCATAGTCAGTAGTAATCGTTTATATTATATTTCAGTTTGATCAGGCATCAGCACTACCTTCAGTTTCACGGATCAGGTGGGACTCAGACTAAGTACTACATTGATTATAATTACGGTACCATGTTTGAGGTATGTATTTCATGTCATGTATCCGCTCGGAATGGTCGCCGGTCCATCTGGGTTCTAGTGGCCTAGTCTGCCCACTAGAGTGTGCACATGGTGTCCGACTTTAGTTTGTGCCGGCAGATGAGGTAACAGTTATGGTTCACGTTCACGTGATATATCAGATTCATGTTCATGTTATTACCGGTTTCATGTTCAGGTTATGTATATACCAGGATCATGATATTGTTATTATTCTCAATGTTTACATTAGTATGAGTTTCTGCGGAGCACAGTGTTTTAGTGCTCACGCCCCCACGTATTTCATGTTTTTCAGGTCGCAGGGTCAGGGACGAGGAGTGAGCTGGCGGGCAGTTCAGGATATTTATGAACATGTATATATATGTTTAACCACGCTGTTATTCCGCTAAAACTTTCAGTATTTTTAAATAGCTTTTGATCCGACTTTAGTCGGTTAATATATTATAACCATTTTCATTATCAGTTTAAAATTTAATGGTTTTCAGAAAAGTCAAGTTTTTCACGGTAGCACTCCGAATCAGTTTTCGCAAAATTAATATTTTATGTATTTATTCAGAAAAATTGCGAAAAACGCGTACTCTGATTTCAGTAAAAAGTCGGGGTGTTACAATTGGTCTTTATCAACTCCTGCCCGGACGGAAACAACCTTGTCCTTAAGGCTGAAATTAGGGAATTGGCCACGTACTTCCTCAGTGTCCAGCCAAACTACCTCATCATCCCCGTGATCCACCCATTTTATTAAAACCTGTGGAACCATTTCCCCATTGCGCTCAATCTCTCACCGCGCCAGCACTTTCTCCGGAATAAATAATGGGTCATCTCCCAATAATTCATCAGGGAATGTAGGCTCAATGGAATTCACTCCCATTGAAGCTTTTAACAGCGAAACATGAAAGACTGGATGCACCCTTGCGGTACCAGGCAATTTCAATCGATAAAAAACTGCTCCAATACGAGCCTCTACCTCAAATGGCCCAAAAAATCGAGGTGCTAACTTAGTGTTCATGCTGCGGAAAAGTGTTCGCTGTCGAAAAGGACGAAATTTGACAAACACTTTATCCCCTACTGCAAACTCCACGTCTCTAAGGTGTTTATTCGCTTCCCGAATCATGCGTTGTTGAGCACGTTCCAGGTGGAAACGCAAATGGCGCAAGACCTCATCCCTGTCCCGAAGATCCTCTACTAATGATTATGTCCTTACTTCTCCAGGTATAAAACGATGTAGCCTAGGAGGTGCACGACCATAAACTACCTCAAATGGAGTACCGCCCACACTTGATTGAAAATTGGTATTATAGCAGTACTCTGGCCAAGCCAACCACTTACTCCACTCTCGTGGCCTTTCGGAACTAAAACAACGCAAATATGTCTCAAGGCAACGATTTAGTACCTCTGTTTGTCCGTCTGTCTCAGGATGATATGCCGAACTCATTCTCAACTTAGTGCCTGCCAACTTAAATAACTCCTGCCAGAACGAACTTAGGAACACTGAATCTCTATCTGATACAATTGATGTTGGGATACCGTGCAATCGCACCACCTCTCGGCAGAACAAATGTGCCACCGATAGGGCAGTGTAAGGGTGTCTCAATCCCAGAAAATGACCATATTTTGAATATCTATCAACCACAACCAGGATACAATCAAGATTGCCCGAACGGGGAAGGCCCGAAATAAAGTCCAAGCTAATTTCCTCCCAAACTCGATCTGGAATTGGTAAGGGTTGTAGCAAGCCTGCAGATTCCTTGGTGTCGTACTTGTTTCTTTGACAGATGTCACAACGCCTTACAAAATCCATCACTTGGCGCATTATTCCTGGCCAATACACGTTTGCTGCTAAGCGCCGATAAGTGCGAAATGCCCTAGAGTGACCCCCTGTTGGTGTGGAATGGAATTCTGAAATTAATTTGGTGGTCCACTCGGATCTATTAGGATCTACCAAGCGGCCTTTATAGAAAAGATTCCCATGAACAAGGGAGTAATGCGGCGGTGCGGACGTGCTAGATTCCAAAGCCGACACAATTTTGGATAACTTTGGATCAGACTCAATAGCCAATTTTAGTTGACTCCAGTCCATCCATGTGTGCATACTAATGGATGTTAATTCCACCTCCTCATCCCTACGTGATAGGGCGTCGGCAGCTTGATTCGAAGTTCCGGAGCGATAAACTATTTCGAAATCAAGGCCTAGCAATTTGGCAACCCAATTTTGTTGGGCAGGAGTAGTCAACTGTTGCTGTAATAGATGTTTCAAGCTGCGCTGATCTGTACGAATTAGAAAGCGTCGCCCCATGAGATAGGGACGCCAGTGTTGTACAGCCATCACCAGTGCCATCAACTCCTTCTCGTAAGCGGATTTAGCTAAGGCGCGGTCTGAAATACCCTTGCTAAAATAAGCCACCGGACGACCTTGTTGCATCAAAACCGCACCAAGCCCTCGTCCAGATGCATCACACTCAACGACAAACGACAATGAAAAATCAGGCACAGCTAAAACCGGAGCGGAAGTTAGGGCTTGCTTGAGTTCTTGAAAAGCCTGTTCAGCCTCAAAGGGCCAAACCCACTCCTGAGATATCGTTTTTTTCAATTGAGACGTGAGAGGAGAGGCAATCTTGCCATAACTCCGAATAAATCAGCGATACTAACCTGTGAGGCCAAGAAAACCACGCAAGCTACGAAGAGAAGCAGGACGTGGCCATTGGAGCACTGCAGCGATTTTTATTGGGTCCATTTGCACCCCATCAGATGAAACCACATGGCCAAGATACTCGACAGATTTCCTTCCAAACAAACACTTCTTCGGATTTATTGAAAATGAATGTTCCCGAAGGAGGCCCAATACCTGTATGAGATGGCACAAATGCTTCTGCCACGTCTTGCTATACACCAGGATGTCGTCAAAAAAGACTAACACAAAGTGATGGAGATAAGGCCTAAAAATATCATTCATGATGGCCTGAAAGGTGGCGGGAGCATTAGTAAACCCAAAAGGCATTACTAAGAACTCGTAATGACCTGAATGTGTACGGAATTTTGTTTTAGAAATGTCCGCTTCAGCAACCCGTATCTGATGGTAACCGGCACGGAGATCGAGCTTGCTAAACCACTTTGCCCCATGCAGCTCGTCTAATAATTCCTGGATGATAGGGATAGGATATTTATCCGGAACCGTATGCTTGTTCAACTCGCGGTAGTCCCCACAAAACCTCCAACTACTATCTTTTTTGCGAACCAACAGAACAGGGCTTGAGTATGGGCTGCAACTTGGACGGATCAACCCAGCTTCCAACGTATCTGCCACTAGTCGTTCCATTTCATCTTTTTGGAAATGATTGTAGCGGTATGGTCTCGCTGAAATGGGTTCGGTACCAGGTTGTAAGTTAATACGATGGTCAATGTGTCGCTTAGGAGGTAGTCCAGAAAATGGTGTTAAGATCTCCGAAAATTCTGCTAAAAGGGGCGAGAGTGCATCTCGAGTTGGTGAATGAGGCTCGATTGACACAGGACAATGTGGTGGAGATTCCGAATGATCCATCGACCATAAAAGCCATGTTTGCTCACCGTCAGAAAATTCGCGAATTACTGTAGCCACAGAAACAGCTTGGCGGGTGAACGAGGGATCCCCTCTCAAAAGAATCGTACGACCATCTTTAACTATTTCCATTGTCAAATTTTTCCAATTTGCTTTCACATCTCCTAACGAAGCCAGCCAAGAGACACCTAATATTATATCCACCCCTCCCAACGGAAAAACAAAGCAATCAACCATAAATGTAGCAGTCTGCAAATAAAGAGAAACGGCGCGGCACAATCCCTGTGAAGAAATGCGTTGACCATTGCCGAGCATCACAGAATACGTCGGTGAAGGCTCCACATGTAATCCCAATTTATCCACAACCCTTTCCGAAATAAAACAATGACTCGCGCCACTATCCACCATAGTCAGGAGCTTCAAATTCTCAAGTCTGCTTATCAACTTCATCGTATGGGGACCATCAAAACCCTTGGCTGCAAGGTGTGAAAGTTGTAAGGTTTGGAGAAGTGGGGGTTCAGTTGTCAGAGGGTCTGGGACCTCTTCGACCATTTCAGAGACAATGGGTATCTCCGACTCTGAAGGTTGTGAAACGTCCATCTCCTCACCCGCGAGCATCACGTTTAGGGAACGAGCTGGGCAAACGTGTGTCGGGCCATAGGGTTGGCTGCACCGATAACATAGACCTTGTTTCTGATGGGACTGGTACTCGGAAAGTGTGAGTTGACGCACTCTAAAGAACTTTTGAGATGTGATAGTGGATCCTGTATTTGAGGTTGACCCCTTTTGGCTGGCTCCAGAACTCAGGGTGGGAGTCGAGCGAGCTTGAGGGTGTTGAATTTGTGAGCTATGCTGGAGAGGTGACGAGAACCGTGGAGCCTGTAATGGGCGGCTAGAACTTGAGAAGGGAGAGTATGATGAACGAGGTTGTCCCTTACCCGATGGAAAGTTTGTGAAATTCAATTCACGTTCCACTTGACGAGCCAATCGAATTGCAGCATACACATTCATGGAAGGGTCATCACGTATACGGATTCGGATATCCTCGCGTAAACCACCCAAAAACTGACCCAAATAATGAGGGTCAGATAGATCAGTTACCTGAGCAACATAAGCTTCAAATTCAGTGATATACTCATCGACAGAGCCGGTTTGCCGCGTGACCTTCAAAGCCTCATATGCATTCACAGTTGTCAGAGTACTGAAGCGAAACAATAGTTCTTCAATGAACTGGGGCCAAGCGATAGTAGGAAAACGGCGCATTAAACCTTGAACCCAATACAATGCATCCCCAGACATGGCGACGAGCGCAATTGGAACCTTTTCCGCTACTGGAGTGTGGTGAACCAAAAAAAATTGCTCAGCCCTGGCTATCCAAGCAGGTGGGTTAGATCCATCAAATGAGGGGAGGTCAATTTTTGGTGTCCCAGACAACGTAGTGGTATGGTTCGTGGTCTGGGATGTGTCCGTCTCGTGGAAGGTCCTAGAATCGGATGATTTCTCCTTCTCCTTCATGATGGCAGCTAACATAGTCTCGATAGTAGAAAATTTTGTACATACCTCGTCAAGGCTCTTCTCCATCATCTCCAAACGGTGTTCCATCCTCTCGAAACGGGTGTCCATCCTTGTCTGCATACAAGGCTTGGCAGGTCGGACCAATTTGATAGAGTGAAGGGCAATAATAACAATAGATAATGAAAGAACTACCCCGAAGGGTCCTCAGGCAAGATAGCCTGCCACAAACGTCAATATTCCAGAATACTCATCTAACTCTTACCCACCAATATATATACTAAACCCTAATATTGAATAATTAAACCCTAAAGCCCATTTAAGAGCCCGCTAACTTAACTAATTACATTAACTAAATAATAAGGATAATTGGGCCAACGCCCTAGGGTCCAGTAGGAGCAGCCGCAGCCCGTTTCAGCCTGCCAGAATAAACTTTCATAAATTGGTCTTTATCAAAAGACAATTAAGTAGGAGCACATTTAGAGAACTGATGGATGGATGATATATTTGAACGATGCATATATGTTTTTAAATTAAAAAAAATAGTTTTATAAATATATTTTTTTTTATTCATGCAATTAGTTGAGATGATGAGGGAGCTATGGTCATACTCATTAATTATTGGTGGCCCCACATTCTCCAATTGGATGTGACTCCCTTTAAAGTAAACTTTCCCAATATAGAAAGTGGTCCACGTGTCATAGTCGTGGGTGGTGAGCCCAACAATTAATGCCCGCTCGTTTGAGGTAAACAATTAATTAATTTGATAAGAATGTGTATGTAGTGTAGTGTAGTTTAGTAATTTGGGCCACACCATTGAGTGCAATTGCATTCATCACTCTCCTCTCGGTATCTCTTTGTTTGGTCCCCCCTCAACCTCAAGTTTACAATATAATCTTTTTCTGGTTATTTTAGATCCTTTGTGGAAATCTTCATCTACAAAGTGTTAGACCCAAATTAATGCCACCCCCAATTTCACAAGTAAGTGCATGTGAACATCGAAATATATATATATATATATATCTACTAACTTTGCACGCTTCTTCTGCTTTTTGTCCGCTAACCTTTTAGGATTGTAATTTGGTTTTATATCAATTTCATCCAAAAGAATAATTTTAGTTGTGGGTGGGTGGATGAGTCTACAAACATAACCTGAGGAGGACTTTTTGTAGGCATGCATGGAGATCATAACATGTTGGAAAAAATAATTAATGAGAGGAGAAATGCTTCAACTCAGATATCTTGTGCAAATCGGCAGGCAGTCGAGTCGTGTATTTTCCTCGTGAACAGGTTTCTGAAAGAAGCTTAATTTCAACTCCTGTTTAAATTTAACACAATTACTCTTTGTTTAGTTAAGTAGATGGATTTGTGCAGGAAAAAAAGTTTTTTTTGCAATTGATGAGGTTGACATTCATTTGTCCCCTTTACCTTTTCCCATTTTTTTTGGTCTTTGGCAGTAACTGATTTTTAATGTGTTGTGGTTATCCTTTTTTTCGATGATTACAAGTTTTACTGCCCCTCTGGATTTTTGAAGCTAATTTAGATATCCTAAGGTTACTTTCGAATTTGTTATTTAGATATTCAAATAATTTGTTTACAGGTTAGGTTGCTGCCTCTACCATTGTTGGATATTTTCATTAGCAGCAAGAGCAAAAGGATATATATATATATGCCTACTACCAGCTGAACTCGGAGCTCCAAACAAACAGCTTACTAATTATTTCTGTAAAATATTAACTGCTAGTGACACGAGCATGATTTTCTGTACCTCGACGAGCGGCCGAGAAAGTCTTCCCGCCACTTGTATGTGTTTTCCATACTTAATTTTAATGCAATTTAGTCTCTCAGTTTTAGTTTGTTTTTTCTTTCTTTTTCGTTTTTTTTGTTTTTTTTTTTTT